AGGAGGAGGAGGAGGAGGAGGAGGAGGAGAAGGAGGAGGAGGAGGAGGAGGGTGGAGGAGGAGGAGGCGGAGGAGGCGGAGGAGGAGGAGGCTCGCGACAACTTCCGTCGCCCCTCCGCCGGCTTCCGGCGGCGGCGGCGGCCTCGCGTCACCTCCGCCGCCCCTGCCGTCGCGGAGGAGCGCTAGCAGCTCCCTTCGACCCTCGAGGGCCGGCCAGGCCCCAGCGCTGGAGCGCCTCGCTGGGCCGACGGGTGGCGTCGGGAGCGGCCAGGAGGGGGGGGCAACGGTAGGGGGGGATAGGCATAGGGGGGATGCATCGACCTGGAATCGGCGATATATCGCCGACAGATCGGCGATAGGCCTCCGATCGTGAATCCGCACCTTCCTGGGCAGGTTGGGGCTATCGGGCCCCTATCGACGATCAATGGGCGATTGGGGGTCGATGCACCCCCCCCTGTGCCTATCCCCCCTTTTTCGTTGCCCCTGAAAGAGGGGGGAGTCCAAGAGGGGGGGATGCAAATCACGGCTGGCGGCACGTGCGCGGCCCAGGGGGGGGGGCCAGGGACGTAGAAAAATAGGAAGAGGCGCCATGAAGTCTGGGGAAATAGCGTGGCCCACGCCATGAGATCCACCCATCCCCCCTAGTCGTCACCCCCCTCTTTGCCGCCCCCGAGGTGGGGGAGGGGGGCACTGGGCCTGGGCGGCCGGTGCGTCGTCGACCTGCTTTCGCCGCTCCCGCAGGCAGACTAGGGGCGGCGCAGCTACCGAGAGCAACCAATGTCTGGTCTACTATGGAGGGGGGTCCTGAGATCGGGGGCTGCACAAATTGCAGCATCGCAGAAAATCACGACCGGAGGAGGAGCAGGAGGAGAAAGAGGCAGGAGGCAGGAGGCAGGAGGGAGGAGGGAGGAGGGAGAGGGAGGAGGAGGAGGAGGAGGAGGAGGAGGAGGAGGAGGAGGAGGAGGAGGAGGAGGAGGAGGAGGAGGAGGAGGCAGAGGAGGAGGAGGGGGGAGGAGGAATGTCAGGAGGAGGAGGAGGAGGAGCCCCAGACTCCATCTTTTGGCAACCTTGCTCGAGCCGGATCGATCTGTGAGGGCCCCGGGGCCCGACATGGGGCGAAGACGCCCAGTGTGAGAGAAACACAACGTCAGGATCAGGGTTCAGTCGGGCGTGTCCCCCCTACAGGGAGATTTTGGCGAAAAATGAAAAATACCAAAAATTACCCCCCAAATGCTCAAAAATGGTCAAAAAATAGTCCCCAGACTTTTTTTTCTTTTTTTATTACTATTTTTGAGTATTCCCCCTGTAAGAGGGACAGGCCCGACTTAAGATCAGGGGTGAGGGGGGGGGGGGCGGGCACCGCGCCGATCGGCGAAACGACGGATCGAGAAGCAGCTGCACGTCCCTCACTCCCCCCCGGGCGTCCCGCTTCTCCGCGCCCTCCTTCTGCTCCGCGTCCTCCTTCTCGTCGCCCTCCCCCTGCTCGTCCGCGCCCGGGCCCGCCGCGGCCTCGAGCTCGTCCTCCTTCTTGTTGTTCGCCGTGGCCCAGCTGGAGGCCAGGATCCGGAGGCGGTCGGCGAACTTCAGCCTCGTGTAGACGTTCGAGTGGGGGATCGACGACAACATCGATGCACCCCAAAATTGTGCTTTTCTCCGTCGGACCTGCGAACGAGTACACAGAGTATGCCGTGAATCTACGGAGCATTCCACGCCGTCGTCCCGTATTGGGTACCGTCAGCCCGTATTGGAAGGAAGCGAGATCAGGATGCAAGGGCCTTGGCCGCCCATTTCGAAGCTTAAGCTTTTCGAGCGGGGCGCGGCCAGCGAAAGTGGCCAAGGATGGACCAAGGCAAGGATGCAAGGGTACCCTTGGGAGAATTACCCACCCTTACTATGCGGGTTGACTGCAAATCAATGTAGCATCAGGTCGGGCGTGTCCCCACAGGCGGATTTGGGGCGAGAAATGGGAATTACTCGACAAAATATGTTCAAACATACGCAACAAGATAGAAACATCGTCCCCTGACTATTTTTGACTATTTTTGAATATTCCTCCTGCAGAGGGACAGGCCCGACTTAATGTAATAGCCTATCCCCTACTCGAGATGTAGGCGCCGCCGACGTAGTTGAGCATGATGCTCCAGCCCTCCCTGGCCCTCTTGCTGTAGCGCGCGCCCAGCTCCACCACCAACAGGTCGACGATGGCGTCGCGGAAGATGACCGTCCGGGGGATGGTCACGTCGAGGTCCAGGTGCTGGAAGGCCAGGGTCTCCACCACTACCTTCATCGCCTTGGGATCCGTCAGGGACCCGATGATCTGGTTCAGGCCGTTCATGAAGCGCATGGCCATGACGGCCCTCGGGTGGGGGGATCAGGTCAAGGATTCGGACGCCCGAAATGGGCACGGAAACAATGGAAACAATGCCCAACAGCAAATGTTGTCCCGAACCAACAGCGGCCGCTGTTGGGCAGGCGGCCTTCTGTCTCAAATGGACACGGGCCGCGGCGGCGCGGACAGCGAGTCCTGCTCAAAACGAACAGGAACTGCTGTTGGGCATCGTACCCTTTCTTTCCGTGCCCATCTCGTTCGTGCAGAAAAGAAGTGCCGATGCCGGAGGAGGAGGAGGAGGAGGAGGAGGAGGAGGAGGAACATGAGGAGCAGGAGCAGGAGGAGTAGGAGGAGGAGGAGGAGGTGCCCGTGCTGCTGCTCTGCTGAGTCCTGGGAGAGGCACGGCAGGCACAGGCGAGAGCGAGGGCCGCGCACCGGCATCGGGGGAGGCCTCCTCGGCCCCACGCCTCCCGACCGGAGCACCGTGCCACGCGCGCGGAGACTGACATCAAGTCGGGCCTGTCCCCCTACAGGGGGATTTTGGACGAAAAAATATAAATAAGCCAAACATGTGCCCTAAAATGCTCAAACATGGTCGAACATCGTCCCCAGACTATGTTTTGACTATTTTTGAATATTCCTCACGTAGAGGGACAGGACCAACTTACAACTAACATCGAGCCACAGCTGCAGCTCGATCGCCAGCATTGCCATCGTCGCACAATCGCACGCGCGGCGCCATGGCCCGCGGGCCGGGCCTCCCCCCCCCTGGACCAGCCACCTCTTTCACATCGGCGTTGAACACCCCGCGAAGGTCGGCGTGTGGCAGCAACACTGAACTGAAGGGGCCCGGGGACACACATATACATACGCACACACAAATGACAGGATTCCCCATACTTCCTCATATTTTCTGGGTTTCTGCCTTCCCCCGCACTTCCCATATTTCCCCTTGTTTTCTGGGGAATCGACGATTCGGTGTGTCTGTGTGTTTTTTTCCCTCCTGATGAACGGGGGGGGGGGATCTCAGGCGTCTAGATACTTTAGACTGGCGCTCCTGATGATCTCCTGTCGATAGGCGTGCACCCCAGCTCCATAGCTCGCCTGCAGCTCGAATCAAGCAGAGAACACAAACCTTGACCTCTCAAAATCTGCAGAGGGGGGGGGGGAAAGGGCTTCTTTGACGGCGGGCCCCGCGGCGTTGCATCCCTGCCGCGCTCCGTGCGGCGGCGGCGCGAGGCCGGTGCGCTGCCCCGTCGTTTTTGCGCCAACGGTGCAGGAAGGGTTTGGAAGGTTCGGACGCCCGAAATGGGCACGGAAAGAAAGGGCACAGTGCCCAACAGCAACTGTTCTCCCAAACCAACAGCGGCCGCTGTTGGGCAGGCGGCCTTCCGTCTCGAGTGGACACGGGCCGCGGCGGCGTGGACAGCGAGACCTGCTGAAAACGAACAGGATCCGCTGTTGGGCACCGTGCCCATTCTTTCCGTGCCCATCTCGCTCGTGCAGAAAAGGGGGGCCTCGGGCCCGGCACACCCTGCACGCAGGCGAGCCCATCCCGTGCGCTGGTCCGAAGTTAGTTCTGGAGGCCTGGACGTTGGCACGCAGGCACCAGCACAGGGGGGCTGCCTCCACATTTGGGGAGGATGATCCTGGATTTCGGTGTTCGCGGTGATCTTTCGGTCACCTTGGAGGCCAGCATATGACCACCACCACCGAGATCGGGATCGTCTTCCCTCGGTGGAGGCACGCCGCCGTTCTTGGTATTGGTGTCAACCTCTGGGCCATGTACAGTATCTGCTCATGAAGTTGGTCCCCCGACCCCTCCAAGGCTCCGTCCTAGCGGGCTTCTCGTCCCGGATCGATACGTTTGAGAGCCCTGGGCCCGAACCGAACCATTCCGGGCCCGAAGTCGTTAATAGCTACAATCATTTCACCAGGGTGCCCAATGATTCTGTATGCAACGCGCACTTATCACTCCCCCCCTCGTGGAAAATCATGTCATGCATCGGGGGCCCGAAATTCCCTGACCCAAAGGTACCGCCCGATTGGTCACGCCTCTCAGGAGGCACTTTACAATCTTCCATTCAGAGAATTGAGGCCTCCTTCGTGCAGTCTTGGGACCCTCGTGGGCCGTCTTGGTACTCTCTACGGCCATCCGAAGCATCCGAGGGCCTCTTGGGGCGCCCTTGGACGTCCATTGGCGACTCTTCGATGCCCTTGTGGCACCAAAAACCTTTTCGGAACCCTCCCGCGGCAGAGCCTGCAAATCCTCCACGGGCGATGTCGAAACGAGGGCACCACTCTTGAGTATCAAGTGATGAGGAATCGAGCGGTAGCGTCGTTGTTGTAAGGGGGGCAGTTTGCGGCGCCAAGGCGCGAACACCATTCTTGAGTTCATTGCGAAAAGTTATCAAGCGGGAGGGCTGATCTTGTTGAAGGGCTGGTTTTCGGCGGTAAAGAATGAAGTATCAAGCGGGAACGTCGTTGTTCAAGGGGGCCAGCTTGTGGACCGAAGGCGCGAACGCCACTCCTGAGTAAAAGGCGAGGACGTATCGAGCGGGAGCGCAAGTTTTGGTCAGATCGCCAGCTGTCGGCGGCGAACAAGATCGCCAATCTTGAACAAAGCACGCGGAAGCATTGAGCTGGAGCCTTGTTGTTGCTGTTGCTGTTGAACTGTCACTTCTGAAGAATAATTATTGTTGATCCTCCCTCTCCGGTGCATAATTTTCTTCTCAATCAATGTGTGCCCCTCGACGCTCGCACCCTGTTTTTTGACAAGGAAAACCTTGATGCTCAAACTGTGCCCCTGGCCCTCCGGATTGCAACAAAAACGGCTGCCGCCTGAGACTTCTCTCAAATTTACTCAGGACCCCCCCTCATGAGACTTCCTCACAATTTACTCAGGATCGGTGCTCCCGCCTGTGACTTCCTCGCAATTTAGTCAGGACCCCCGCTCCCACCCGAGACTTCCTCACAATTTACTCAGGAACGGCGCTCCCGTTGGAGACTTCCTCGTAATTGAATCAAGACTTCCTCGCAATTTAATCAAGACCCCCGCTCCCGCCAGAGAGCCCTTCACATTTTATTCAGGAATTGCGCTCTCGCCTGCGACTTCCATGCGATGTATTCAGAAACCGCGCTTTCGACGCTCAGGAAACACGCTGCGCCAACGACGCCGTTACAATTTACTTGATAATCGCGCTCTCGCCATACTCAGGCATTCCGCTTGAATGTCCCACCCGCCCGACCCGCCCGTCAGGGGATCGCCCGCCCGCCGTGGGTTCCCGCCCGAAGCTTCCTTCAGGAACGGCGCTTTCGCCTAGGACTTCCTTGAACGTTCACGCTCTTACCTTCCTGCTCCTAGTCCCTTTCCCTCCTCCCTCCTCCCTCCTCTCCTCCTCCCTCCTCTCCTCCTCCCTCATCCTTATGCCTCTCTGCCCTATCCCCTCTCCTTCCTCTCCGTCCTCCTTTTTCCCTCCCCTTCCTGCCTCCTCCCTCCCTCCTTCTTTCTCTCTCTTTCCCTCCCCCTTCCCAAGTTTCTTGTTCTCTCTACCTCTTGTATATTTATATATATATATATATACATGTATATAGATATATGTTTTTTTTTTTTTTCTCTCTCTCTCTCTCTCTCTCTCTCTCCCTCTAATCAACCGCCCCCCTCTTCGCTCCCTCTCTCCTGGCGTTTTTCCTCTTCCTTCGTCCCTCCCCCCCCTTCCTCCCGCTCTCCCTCGTTCGCCCCCTCCTCTTTTTGCAGGGCCCACACCAATTCCAATGGCGGGCACATGTACGCCCACGAAGGATTGTCCGCCCGATCAAGTTTGCCCGCCTGTCTAAGCCCGCCGCCCCCCGCAAAGAGAAAGAATCCCCCCAAAGGGGGTGTGATCGAAGATAGAAAGGGCGTGTGGGGAACTCGTTTTGAATGACACGCGGGCATGTAAGAGCGAACAGTCTTAGAATGATTGTTGCTGTTGTTGATGGTGGTGGTGGTGGGCTGGTTTGGGCGCCCCCCTGGAACGCTCGACCGTGAGCCTCGTTTTCGCGGGGAATGCAGCCAACGCCGAGGCGAAATCACGAAAGCGGGTATAAAAGGGGGTCACAAAATCCGCCGCCGCGCCGTTGAGGCACGCACTGGAGGGTCCTCCGATCCCTGTGTTGGATCTCCCGAAAGCCTCAGCTCTGAATCCTGAGGATTCTTTTAAACGGACCTGGACCCCGAATTCTCGAATCTTGTGGGGCTGGCCGCGTGGCCCCCGGAGCTCCTGGCGTCTTCCACATCACCTGTTCGGCCCCGAGTGGGGCCCCAAACAGAGCCGAGGGGACCCCGAAAGGCCCCACACACGGTCTAAGAGGGCACCGAATCGCCGAACAATCGGTCCAAGACGCCCGAAGGGGCCCCCACGCGGCCCGAGAAACCTTCGAAACGCCCCAAGGGAGCCCCACAAGCTTTCCCAAGAGGGCCCCGGGAACCCCAAATCATTGACTCCCCACCTGACAGGCTGGGGTCGTTGGATTCTTAGAGCTTTCGGCCCGCCCACCCTGCATACCGCGGCCGCCATATCCCCGCGTCCACTGACTCCCTAGAGACTCCCGCCCCGGGCCGACCCGCCCACTTTGCATACCGCGGGCGCCAGATCCCCAGATCGATCGAAATCCCCGCGACTCCCGCCACGCTCTTTTCATGAACGCGACATAACCGGACAAAACGAAACACTGTACCACACATCATGGCATACACACAAAATGCGATAGAAACACGGCATATAACAAAGCAAACCAAACCTGCTATACACCATGCCGCAGCATACCACCACATAAGCCGAGGCGGCCATGATGCGGTAAGCCGGAAAACTATGTGGCATACATAACAGCTGGCGATGGCGATGAAGACGACGCCTGCGACCCCGACCACGACGGCGACGATGGCACTGATACTGGCTGCGCAGAGCTAGCCGCGGAGCCGCCGACGCTGCTAAACGATCCCTCTTGCTGCTGTGAACACATCATGCGTGCTTGTCGCCATGCGAA